AGGAAGGACATAAGTGTCTACTTTGAGGATTGGGAGATCCTGGAGTTCCAGGTGTTCAAGAATGTCACTGACACTTGTCTGGAAATTCTGTTGGACTATGGTATGGGGCAGAATGACAGTACCACTACAAGAATTGAGAGAAAGATGTTTTTCAATAGCGACAGGAGTAGTATCGACATGCAAAAGGAGAGGAAGATCATGAGCTTGGGTAGCATCCTGGACAGTGACAATGCATGTACCGCTCTTGAGAGCACGAAATGAAATATCTCTACCAACATGGCGTAGGAGCGCTTTGCCAATACCATGGTCGGAAAGATAGGCAGTAGAAGAAGTCGGTCTTAAAGTAAAGAATTTAGTCCATTGTGTGGTCCGAAACCGAATGTGGAGAGGGTGTGCACGACGTGTCAGTCTTTTCCGAGCAGAATGGGAAGGTAATGAAATAACATCATCAGGAGCTTGTCGTTGGCATTTAGAAGTGGGACCAGAGTTGGTCCGACGTGGGACAGGCTGACGATTCGAAAATTGACGCACCATAGAGGGGGAGGCCGGAAGCACAGTCAAAGGAGGGCGGAGGTCAGACAAATCAGAGGAGTCAGTCGAGACCCCGGTACCTGAAGCTGATGAAACAGCACCAGCAACAGGTACAGGGGCATCAGGAGTGTCCAAAGAGTGGTCAAAAAATGAGGCAGGGTCAAAACGGGGTGCGGTATCAGTAAGGGGCCCTGGGGTAGCAGGTTCATGGATCAGGGCTTCCATGGTTAGGTTACTTCTTTGTTTTTGTTTTTAAGAAAAAAAAAGAAAAAAAAAAAAGGGGGGGGAACGGGGAGGAATAGTTCCTAGGAGGAATGAAAGGGCCAGAAATCACCCTCCATGCCCAAGAGGACCTCAACACTGCAAGTAGTGGAGATGTGCCATGGAACCTGTGTCATACCCTACCCTTAATGCCAGTAAACCAACAATCCAGGATAGCAACCTCACATCTGCCGAGCTACCTCGGTGGACAAGAGAGAGGGCAGCCGGATATCCGCCACAAAGCATACCTCCTTTGGCCACCACCCCCAGAATCCGAAAGGTGGCTTCCAGAGATACATCCGTCGCTCGAAAGACACCCAAAGCCACCCCCCAGAAGACCGGAGAGGGAATGGGATATCCCCAGGCGATGCAGATTCCATGGCAAACTACACCACCCCCAAGAACCTCAATGGAATGGGATTGACCCTGGTACCCTTCCCCCAACCTAGGAACCAGTAGGCCTGTGGGAAGAATCCCAAGGCCAAAAAGAGGAAGGGAATAAAGAAGGGACGGGGAGGAGGAGGAAAGGAAAAAGGGAGGATGGGGAGGATGGGATAGGGAAGGGGGGATTGGGAGGTAATTAGGTTCGGTCTGAGGAAGGAGACCAACAGGTCTAATTCCTCAGACCAAGAGTCTCTTCACCACGTCAAGGAGCCCCCCTAGAAGAGGAATTATAATAATAGATGGCTTCGAAAGGCCGTCACTAGATGGCATTGAATACCATAACAATGCAGGAGTGGTTGTGGCCGCCTTCATTTGTCACAATGACATTTTATTCATTCTAGAGTATATATCAGGTTCCTGTGTTACTTATATTGTTTATTATGTCATATCACATGAATTGTGATAGATAAATAAGCTGTATAGATGATATTAGCGGAATATTGAAGTATCTTGTTGTGCCTCCTGACAGCCGGAACGGATTAATTGTATTTCAATTAATTTAAATGAAGAAAATTGACTGCTAACGAGCAAAGTCACGGAATGGATTAAGCTTGTAAGTATAGGCTACACTGTATTTTTATAATAAAAAAGAAGTGCTAAACCTACAAGGTAAATACAATAAAACAATTTGAGATAGAGATCAACTATGGAGCACGATTTTAGTTCTTGTAAAAACACATACAGTGGACCCCCGGTTAACGATATTTTTTCACTCCAGAAGTATGTTCAGGTGCCAGTACTGACCGAATTTGTTCCCATAAGGAATATTGTGAAGTAGATTAGTCCATTTCAGACCCCCAAACATACACGTACAAACTCACTTACATAAATACACTTACATAATTGGTCGCATTCAGAGGTAATCGTTATGCAGGGGTCCACTGTACATGGAAAAACTGGGAGAGCAACACCTGAAGCTTCCCTTGATTATCCCCCAAAGTCCTCTAATGGTCCACTAAGAAAGCCATGATCTGCAAATAGAAGGATGGACAGTAAGAGCAGTTGTTGTCTACGGACTAGGAAGGTCTGTCAAGTCAAGGCGATTGGGCAGCGGTAAATTAGCTAGAAGCAATTTACAGGTATTCGGAGAAGACAATGTGTAGAAGTAAATGTAGAAGCATGTGGAAGGTGAGAATGTGAAGTTTTGGGAGATGGGTCAATGTCCATCACTAGCTTTTTCCTCAAATAGATGCAATTGTTTCATCTGACAAGGAAGCTGTAGGAAGGACATAACTGTCTATCTTAAGAATCTATAGGAGTTGCTCCATAATGTCAATCACATTTCATAGTCTTGTTGGAATATGATGTACAAAATAACAACAGCTCTGCAGCAAGAATTGAGGAAGAATGTTGATGTATTATGACAGGAGTGTCATTAACAGAGCGATGAAATCACAAGCTTTGTCAGTGTTCTGAAGTGACAATTCATACATCATTATTAACCCGTTGACTGTCGCAAGCCCTTTTCTGAAACTGTCATTCTATGTTGCAAAATTTTTGGAAAAAAAAAATTATTTCTTATGAAATGATAGATAATCTTTTCCCGATGGTAATGACACCAAAAGTATGAAATTTGGCTGAAAACTCACAGAGTTGCACTCCCGTGAAGTTAGCGGTCTCAGTGACATATACGCATCGGCGATTTTGCAGACTTTGAGCCCTGTTTTTGGTCAATTCCATTGTTCCAGTTGACCAAACTCATAGCTATTTCTTTAAAACTCCATTTTTTCCTATCAGTTGAGTACAAGAAACTGCCCATTTACCAATTTAAACTACCCAATAAAGTGGTCAGAAATTGGCAATTTGGCCAATTTCACACAAATTAAAAAAAGATGCCAATTTCAAAATAGGGTCCAGAATAAACAATGTAGACATTCTTGGCACTAAAATAACATATCCTCTGTTCATTAGTCACATCTCTAGGCCCCTCTTATATTACTATTGCTTTCTATTTTGATTTTTTATTTATACAAAAAATACAAAATTTACTGTTATGTAGACTACTGCATTATTGTAAAAATGGTGTAAATAATATCAGTGCACTAGTGAAAGAATATTAGACTCCCCAGTTGACATGTATTGGACGTGTGGTGTGATTTGCTTACTCCTGAACATTGGTAAAAATAGAACATTTCCGCTACTTTGAGCTCAATTTCAACGTCGTTTTCATCGCGAAACTAATCAAAATCATCTCTATTTCTGTAATATGTTTTCCATTTTATCATGCGAGACCATGAAAACGAGAATACAACGATAAATACTATACGAAAATACACCTCAAATTTGGCGTTTTAATCCAAAAGACGGTCATTTTTTTTTCTTATTATGCACTGCGTGCTGCAGGATACTTTTTATGTGGTGCACACTGATCACACAGACCCATTCTCTCACATGTGGGCGTACCAGCTTTCTCCCGCTTGATTTAAAGCCGCTAGAATTTACACGCATAAATACGTCCGAAACAGTGGCGCACAAGACGTATATATACGACTGAAACAGTCAAAGGGTTAACAATACAAAATGAAATATTTTGTCCACATTGCAAGACTGCTCTGCTGATACTATGGTTGTAAAGATAGTCTATAGGTGTCCGTAGTTGAAGAGTGAAGAATTTTTCCACGAGTTACCTTGAAATAAAGATTGTAGGGGTAGAGGTTTTAGAGCAAATTGTTGGCAAGAATAATACTGAGCAGCAGCAGTAACAGGGTCAGCTTCACCAGTTACAGGTTGAGATCACTTGGATGGGGGGTTTGGAGCTGATCCATTCCTTGATGTGCAAACCATCCCAAAACTGACAGTGAAGGTTGAGCAAGGGTCAGAAGTAACAAAAGAATCAGTTGAAGCCTTGGAACCAGTCAGGCAACGAAGTGTTACCCAAATGTGGTGCCAAATTCTTGGAAAGGTTCACAAATGTGCTAAGGTCATATAAGGATGCCGTTGAAGGAGTAAGGGACTCGAGAGGAAGCAGATCGCAGATACAAGTATCCATATTTTTTTTCCAGAAAAAAGAGGGTAGTGGGGAAAGTGGGGTATAACACCAAATAGAAACAAAAAGACTATATATCCTCCCTGTCCAAGAGCTTCCCTAGCATGACAGGTAGTGCAAACACTACATGACCCTGCTCTCTACCCTACCCTTCATGCCAGTAAACTGGCAATCAAGAAAAGCAACTTCACATCCACCAAGCCACCTCAGTGGACAAAAGAGCGAGTCAGAATCCTGCCAAGAGGCATACCCCTTTTGGCCATCACCTCTTGGAACTGACAGGCAACCTCCAGAGATATACCAGTCATCTCAAGGTCACCCGAAAGTTGCCCTACAGAACTCCAGAGCATCTCAGCACATCTCCATTTAATACAGATTTTACGCCACATAATACCATCACCAAGGGCCTCAGGTGAAATCCCTTTAGGCCAAATGTGTAGGAAAGAGAAGGCAAGGGGGCTGTCGTGTATAGATGTTACAGTCCCACAACTTGGAAATATTAGCGTCACCAGTGCTGACCCCAGTTCAATTGCCCCTCGCCTTGCTGGCCTGCAGTGCTAAGGGTATTTGACTTTAACATTCCCAAGGTGTGGGACTGCAACCACTATACCTGAGAGATGGGGGAGGGGGAAGCAATTAAGTTTGGTCCTAGGACAAAAGACAAAGGCCCAGTTCTTTGGATCAAGTCTCTCTGCCACATCAAGGATTCCCCCCCCCCTTTATGAGGAGTGTGGCCCAAAGCATAATTATAACTGGGAGCAAATAGATACAATAGATGTGCATTTTGTTATTTGTTTATTGAAAAATTAATGTGCCAACAAAATTACTTGGTACTGTAACCGTAACAATTTTGTATTATGCATTTTCATCATAACTGTGCTTATAATTATGTAATAATAGGTTTCATTAAAAGCTAACATTTAAGAAAATGAATACATTAGTAAATAACCATAAAATGCATTTTCACATAAAGTTTGAATTTTGTGGCAATGTAAGCTGCATATCCATTAACAACTAGTCCTGCAATGGCTTTGCACTAAACTGGTTAAAAAAAAAAATCTTAATTTTCAAATTTCTGACAACCAGTTATTACAAAATGTTAAAAAGTTCACATTACTATACATATACCAAGAACTTCAAGTGGAAAGTCTTCAACAATTGTAACAAATACAGGTATTATAAAAAATTATTCTATGCGAGGTTAAAAAAGGTAAAAAAAATGAGCAAAGTTCTGAAAAAGCTTTTTAAATGCAACAAAACTCTTCCTAAACTTCCAGGAAAGAAAGGATTCACTACATATACAGCTGATAAAATTCCATATTGACAGTCGTTACAATTTTGCTTCATCTCAACAAAAAGGCATACAATAGAAAATTCATTAAAATTTTTAATTTAGCCCTTCCTATTAGAAAGTACAAAGACTCATTCTTTACAACAAAATTATGTATTAATGTTTTACTGCATCATAAGTTAACTAAGTTACACAATTCTTTTGCTTTAAATACCAGCATTGTAAGTGAACAAATGCATTAAGATTTTGGTTTTTTCTTCAGAACCTAATACAATTAATTAAAATTAAATTTTATGTACAGTACAATATACTACTGGATCAAGGGAAATTTCAACATGAATTCCAATATAGATACCCCTACATACACTATTATGGCATTTTCCTATGCCTTAATGTAAATCTTTTAGGGAAAATCTAAACATTTGTGTAATGCAAGACCAGTCCGAGTTTACAGAAATTTTACACTTTAGAATGTATTTCATAGATTGCAGATTACAAGTCAGCCTTTGGATTTTTTTTTAACTACAATATGACTTATCTAATCCTTTTGCATTACAGTTCCCAAATAATATACATTTACATTATCCATCACAAATTTAGTTTAGAAGTACATTAATTTAAATTTCCAATATAGGATGTCCCCTAAATATTCCCTAAGTATAGATCAGGACACCTCCTAACAGCCAGCCTGCCACAAGGCTTACCTCTGGACTGACAATAATTAGCCCTATCAATATTCAATGGTATTTGTGTATTCATAGATCCTTAGTACCTTGATGCTATTTGTTTCATTCAACCTTTAGCACAACACCATTTGAAATACTTTCTACTCAGAAAACACAATCCCGAGGATGAGCAATTTCAGAAGGTTGGCGATTCACATTTGGTGAAATACAATGAGAATAGAGTCAACTATTGTCAACAAGGCAAATTTTGAAATTACTACTTGGGTCAAGTAGTGAATGGCAGTTTAACATTAAATTCCCTGCATTGACTGGTCCCATTTATTACACAAACTACACTTAAGAACTATCACAACTACACATTACATAAAGACAGTAAGAACACTGGAATGGCTTTAGATGCAAAAAATGCTAGTGATTAAAAATCCTAAGCTCTGTTTGCATTTCACTTGACAGTTTCAAGAACACACAAGATTGATTTTACATACTAAGGCTGTAGTTTTGCTTTACTTTTGTACTGCATAAACAGGGAATTAATTCTTAAAACAAAATGCTTATAATAGTTATGAATTAGGTCTCCAGCAAGGGCAGTGATGTCCATCATAGTGAAAGGGATTGAATGAATTTATAAATCAAATCATTCATGGAATCTGAAGTTACCATCACACAGTGAAGATGGTAAGCTTTAAATTCCCCATTTTGGTAGACATGTGAACCAGCTGGACTTTTGAAACAAGCCAGTGGATTACTATTAGACTGATACTGTATTCATAGGGAAGTGCCTGGGAACTGACAGACAATCGGGTTTCATTGAAGATGTAGCTATACTACCAAAACCAAATTAGGCTGAATCAGAAACCAGCTTTACTCCCTTGCTGAAGATTGGATCTTGGGACCATTACACTGCTAACCCTATCTACCACCAGACCTGGGTGTGTTATATTTACAATGCATCACTAGTTTTTTTATAAATTATATGAATAGTGCTTCAATAACAGAGCTGCATATATTCCCCTAAATAACTGCCACATTCAGATAAACCATGAGCAGGTGAACAAATATAGTTGCACACCTAAAATAAATCTAGCATTTAAACCAAATTAGCTAGTAAAGAAACTTTTTATATCTGTATGCATGTAAAGCATAGCAACTAGGAACCCATTAGCAGCAATACTCATCCCAAGGAAAAATGCAATCCATGGATTACGATAATTTAGAGAGGTATATGGTTTAGCAATATTTTTTAGCTCCATAGCTGTTATGTCTGCTGTTTGTATTTTGACATTTCTACTACTGCTGGTATTGCTAGAATTCTCACTAAGATTTCCACGAGTTGTATGATAAAAACATGAGGTACTGGCAGGAGGAGATGGAGGGTTCCTTTGTAAAGAACCATCAGAAACATGTGAAGCACAGCTGTAAAGAGACTTGGCTTGTACTCTACTCTGACTACAACTAATTTGGGATGCAGAATCAGAAGGATAAAGAGAAGGTGCATAACCCCAGCTTTTGTAGGTTGGTTCAGAGAGAAGTGATCCACGGTCTAAATCCCCATAATGTGAACCATGGCAGGAATTAGGTAAACTGAAAGGTCCTTGGATTTTATATGGTGGGAGCCCACTATTCTGAGAAACAAATCCTGAGCTCTGGCTGGATGAACGAGAGAGGGGAAACATAGGTGACTGACCTGGACACATCGATCCTAAAGCAGGCATCACCTGCTGTGAATATTCTCGAGATGGGCTTGTGGGATGACCCCAGTATCCCCCAGCAACCCATGAAGACTGTGTTATATTCTTAGCTGAGAATCTTGAAGGACTGTTTACATCCTTCTGACTACAATATGTATCATTAAGCTTGGGATTACAACCAGGTTTTTCTGAAAATAATAGTTTAGGAGAAAAAGGAGCATTGGTGCGATTCTGAGAATGATTTTTTAATGGTGTGCTTATTTTCAAGCTGCTAAGAGTTGTGTCTAAACAATCTGCCATTATGGGATCGTCCAGGCCTGAATGCATGTGGTTTATGGTACCGTTATTTGGATGAGAAAATGGAGGAGTCAAATTTCCTAGGTCATCACTGAGACTGGCATTCAGGGTGCACTGAGACTCTTCAAGGTTATCACTGGAATTATCACTTGTCATACTCCTAAGGGGAGAAAAAATGTTTATACATATAGTATGGAATGAACAAATATTTGGTAGGCCAAAAATAAATGACAAATATAGTATTGACTTCTTCAACTAAAACAGTTAAAATGAACAAAAGAAATCTAATAGCAATAGAAGTATGGACCATCAATAAATTTTATTTAGAGGGGCATTAATACAATGTATATTCTCAAATAATTTTCATTAAACAGTAAATCATCAGGTACAGTGGAACTCCGGATTTCGTACTTAATCCACTCCAGAAGGTCGGTCCAAATCCGAAATGTACGAAAACTGAAGTAATATTTCCCAAGTACAGAAGGGCCTCACTTTATGGTGTTTCGCTTTAAGGTGTTCCGCTAATGCGGACATTTCAAATTATGACCAAAACCTGCTATACGGCTCCCCCCACCTGACATTCTAATACGGTCACCGCACCCCACCTGTCTTGTTTACATTCTCCATGAGCTCCATCAGCACCGTGTCTCTCCATCATGTCTGGAAACTTTCCACAATTTCAAGCGTTTTTAGAAGTTATTTCATAACTTTATATACACAGTGGTCCCTCAAAAATCGTCCGGCCTGAAAGTCATCCATTTCGGAAATAGTCCCATTGTTTTGTCTAAACATTGGCTCGCAAATGGTCCGTTAACTCGCTAATCGTCCTGCATGTGGGATGCGTACTCACACTCTGAGCCGCCTGGGCCTGTCTTCCCAGCCAGTGTGCCATTGTTTACCAGCGAGTGATGGTCCCCTCACTTGCTCCTATGAAATATTTTGATAACATTCCATTGATTCTAGTGCTTGCAAGTGCTAAATAAGCTACCTTGGCTCCAAAGAAAGCTTCTAGTGTCAGCCCTTTGGTAGAATGAGAAAAACACATATAATTTATGAAGAAGTTTGTAGAAAAACACAAAGGTGGTGGTGGAAGAGTGGAAGCAGTTGTGATAGTGGTTGATGGTGGTAGTGATGGTGGTAGAGGGTTCCTTCTTTAGTGATTCAGTGATTCTACCAACTCCTCTAATGTTGTTGGAGTTATATTGAGCTACAGAAAACACCACCGCCTCAGCTGCTGCTTCACCACCATTATGGACGGCTTACTCTCAGTGGCCCTTATATACCCAACAACAACACAACACCTCTTGTGACATACATAATAACTTATTTTATTCATTCTAGAGTATATTCCAAGTTTCTATGTTATTAATATTGTTTATTATGTCATATTAGTTGAATTGTGATAGATAAATAAGCCGTAGAGTTGATATTAGTGTCATATTCTCCAACAATAAACTTACCATCCCTCCCTCACACAAATAAGTCTTCAATAAGAACATAAGAAAGGAGGAACACTGCAACAGGCCTGCTGGCCCATACTAGGCCGGTCCTTCACAAATCCAACCCACTAACAGAACAAATGCTACCCAAGCAATAAGCTCAGGTGCAAGTCCGACTCAAATCCAACCCCTCTCACTCGTGTATTTATCCAACCTAAATTTGAAACTACCCAAGCCATAGCTTTTAGAACATAAGAAAGGAGGAACACTGCAGTAGGCCTGCTGGCCCATACTAGGCCGGTCCTTCACAAATCCAACCCACTAACACAGTGGTTCCCAAACTTTTTCAGCTTGTTACCCAATTTAACATGCCACATAAAGCATGTTACCCCTTTCACAAAATGTTGTTATTATTGATATATATGGCTAAATTAAAACACTTGAGATATTTTCTTTTATTTATTGTATTTGAACATTGTGCATCTCTAATGACTATTACCAAAGATGTCAAGAACATCAGTGGGATGGATGGAGTTGCATACTTGAAGCTAGTTTAGGAATTCTTGGCTTCATACCAGCTTATGTCTACCTCGGCTGATGCTCACAGATAAACTGACAGTGTGAAATAGAGGCAGCCTCAGGAAGTGAGTGACGCGTACTGGACAGGTCGATCTGGGCTACTGAGCGACTTTTGTCCTGAAGCATACTTGTCAAAACACTTTTGGGTTTCCACACACTTAGCTATATATTTCTTCTTTTCTAATACTGTATATTAGTTTTTGATGTATATTGTTATTTGGTTTAACTTTATTACTTACTTATAATAGGTTTACTTTACAACTTTATATACTAAGACAAAGTTAACAATAATCCTCATACCGGGTACCGCATTGTTTTCTTGATTTTCAGAATTCATAACTTTTTTTCTGTCACCCCTCCATTACCCCCCAAAAATGGTTAAATTACCCCCAGGGGGTAATTTACCCCCAGTTTGGGAACCACTGCACTAACAGAACAAATGCTACCCAAGCAATAAGCTCAGGTGCAAGTCCAACTCAACTCCAACCCCTCTCACTTGTGTATTTATCCAACCTAAATTTGAAACTACCCAATGTTTTAGCTTCGATCACCCTACTAGGCAGACCGTTCCACTCATCAACTACCACTATTACCAATGTTCATTTATACATTTTATTAGTGCTTTACATTTATTTGGCATTCTTTTCTGCATGTAAATCTATATTTATGCTAGGTAAGTGACTCCTGAAGTGACCTAGAGTCCTTATGGAGAAGGATTCCCCTTCCAAACAATAACCTCTCTTCCCTCTCTCCTCCTCCCTGTCTTCCATTCATCAACAACAGCCTTCAATAAAGGTAACTGTCATGTTGAATGTTCATTCTTTTGTGCATGTAAATCTATCTTTTGGGTAAAAAAAAAAAATTGTTGTTGATACGTCTGAAAGTCTGGAACGAATTAATTGGATTTACATTATTTCTTATGGGGAAAATTGATTTGAAAATCGTCTATTTCGATAATAGTCCCACTTCCAGGAATGGATTAAGGACGATAATTGAGGGACCACTGTATTCTGATAATTATACTTATGTATAGCTGTACCTAAATATACTTACGCATTGTGCTGGCGTGCAGGTACACATTAAAATCAGTGTGTCTTATGTCTCGAGACGCCGTGTTAGTAATAATAATAATGATCGGGTCTCATTAAATGTCGTATATTAACATTAATATACAAATTTTCGTTAATCTATCTATATTTTTTTCAAAATTATATAATAAACACTATACATAACATATAAAGATGATAAATACACCCTACAGTAGAACAAATAAATATAAATATGAGATGTGGTAGCCAGACAACTTGTACAAGTGACGGCAAGAATAACGTTTTTCTAGTCCAACGTAAGAGAAAATGTGTTACTGGGGGGTAACTGTAGAAAATTATTCCTTTCGTATGCCTTCACTCAGACCGTCATTTCTTCTAAAAATAGTGTTACATAAGAATGGGAGTGTTCCTCTTTATTTATTCTATCGTATATATGGTGTAAATATTATGCAGAAAATTCGGAGTGTGGAAATTAGGAGAAGGTGTGGAGTTAATAAAAGTATTAGTCAGAGGGCAGAAGAGGGGTTGTTGAGGTGGTTTGGTCATTTAGAGAGAATGGATCAAAGTAGAATGACATGGAAAGCATATAAATCTATAGGGGAAGGAAGGCGGGGTAGGGGAAGGAAGGCGGGGTAGGGGTCGTCCTCGAAAGGGTTGGAGAGAGGGGGTAAAGGAGGTTTTGTGGGTAAGGGGCTTGGACTTCCAGCAAGCGTGCGTGAGCGTGTTAGATAGGAGTGAATGGAGACGAATGGTACTTGGGACCTGACGATCTGTTGGAGTGTGAGCAGGGTAATATTTAGTGAAGGGATTCAGGGAAACCGGTTATTTTCATATAGTCGGACTTGAGTCCTGGAAATGGGAAGTACAATGCCTGCACTTTAAAGGAGGGGTTTGGGATATTGGCAGTTTGGAGGGATATGTTGTGTATCTTTATATGTGTATGCTTCTAGACTGTTGTATTCTGAGCACCTCTGCAAAAACAGTGATAATGTGCGAGTGTGGTGAAAGTGTTGAATGATGATGAAAGTATTTTCTTTTTGGGGATTTTCTTTCTTTTTTGGGTCACCCTGCCTCGGTGGGAGACGGCCAGCTTGTTGAAAAAAAAAAAAAAAAAATCAACGTAGAGACAACTTGTACACAATGTAACTTGTACACAAACCAGACGTGTTTGCCTGGTTTGTTTACATAACTCCGCGAGTGTCCTCTCTCATGTACTCATTCTCTCTCTCTCATTTACTCACCTCTGACCCTACATTAAGACTATAAATATTTTAAAGTAAGTAAAGAGTGAACTGTATATGCATTTTATCGCTCTGGGACACTTTAATGTCATAGAATATTGTGTGTGGGTGGGATGGCCTGGTAGCCCGGCTGGCTACCATACATACCACACTTGATTTCTTACAATAAATACTACTCATCTCACCCTAGATTAAGACTACAAATATTTTAAGGTAAGTAATGAGTGTACTATATGTGTATTTTACTTTTTATTTTGTTTTAATGCCTAGTTCTATTGCTAACTTAATATATGTTAGTGTAAACTTGTTATCTAGTAGTTATATGAATTTACAAGTGGAAAAACAGGTGTTCCACTTTACGGCGATTTCCGCTTTATGGTGGTAGCCTGGAACCTAACCTGCCGTGTAAGTGGGGTCCTACTGTACAATTGATCAGTTCCAGACACCCAAAAATATTAAGAAAAAATACATTTTGTTAAAGAATAACTATAGTTTTACACACAGAAAACAATGATAAATAAATATAAAGCACTAATGAAATGGATAAATGAACATTTAAATCACTATTACATACCTTTATTGAAGATTCTTGTTGGTGTATGGAAGGTGAGGAGGGGAGAGAGGAGTGTGTGTTTGGAAGGTTAATCTCCCTCAATAAGGACTTCAGGTATCAAAGCCCTATCCGGGAATACAGTGGAACCTTGACTTACGAGTTTAATCCGTTCCAGGAGCTAGCTAGTAACTCAATTTACTCGTATATCAAATTAATTTTCCTCACTTAAATTAACTGAAAAGCCATTAATTCGTTCCTGCACTCTGAGAGACAAGAAGAAATACTTGAATATGATGTTA